ATTACGTGGTAGTTGATGCGCCCTACAGCTTCGAGAAGGGCGTGAAGATCGGCGTTGGTGGAGACTGTCCCGGCGTTGTAGGTGCAGAGCATGAGGCAATCTCCATGACGAGTCGTTGACGCATTCTTTTGGTCCGAAATCCAGGCGTCCTGTGCACTGACACTGGTCTTGATGACATCGCCGGAGTGATCCAGCGTGTAGGGCTTTTTTCTTTTGCTGTACAGGCGACAGAATAACCTTAACCGCCTTGCCGGGGCGTTACAACATCAGTTGCTGACCCATCTGGATCAGAGAACCACCTAGCGACTGAATCAGCCAAACGGTTGCGCTTTTGGCAGGGCGTGCTCATAGCCATGCATCCGAAAATCGAAATTAGCCTTTCAATACCTATATGGCTTGATGTGGCCACGCTCCAGCCATGCACGTATTCGGAAATAGCCTACTCCTTTCCGAGAAATTTTGAACATCTCTTTGAACTACATGCCTTCGTAGTAGCCAGTGTCTGAAAAAAAGAACAAGTTCCGCCACCATGATGGTCTCCTTTTGTAGACTTGCTGTGTCGTGTGCAATTATCAGCTATGCTTGGAAATATTTGCCTTAATGCTGAATTGATTTTTGTAAATACAATTTTTAATATGCTCCCTTTCAAATCTCAAAATTTCGTAATGTTCTCGTACTCAAATTGATCTCATTATTGTACATTTCAGCCCGTTTGTGAAAAACCCCTCACTTACGAAATGGAACTCGACAATTTTCCGAAAGAAGAACTGAAAGAACTGATCTGGATGGAAGCTAAGCACCATCATAATAGATTACGCGAGCAAGAAGAAAAAACTTCCGAGCAATGACGCTGCTACTCATATTTCAAAGATGCTTTATTTGGACGTATTTTGAATACGTAGATTCGGTGCTATGCCATTCCCATAGTCTCCCCTGTAAATATATGCCCATCGTTTTACTTCCAGTAAAACCGGTACTATTGTGCACATCGTTGTAATATACTTGTCCAATATCATTTTGTGACACGAAATTATTGTACATAATTATAAATCAAGAATTGAAATTTATAAAGGCAAGTATACCCCCTATAAAATTTTGGGTCTAGTAGATGAGAAATGCGAAGCGCAACTTGACAGTCTAATCAGTCAGCTACAACTAATTCCTTTGTCTTTCCGCAATCAATTAAATCAAAATTTAGCCTTCAGTTTCTAGGAAATCTATCGACTATAGCAAATCCTTGTCGGCTCTTCGTGCGAAAAATTAGATCTACGAAAATAAAGTCTTCTAGCGACATATTTCTATGAACGAATATTTATCACACAGTACCAATGAGATAGCACTAGTTGTTTTCCAACAATTTGAAATAATTGATTTTTCGAATACTATACGCAGACTTCAAAAATTCTAACTTTAAGGTTGCTCGTAATGAGA